AAAAAAGTAGTCGCCCAAACCATTGACACCTGGAGCTATTGGCGAAAACGGTTCAGATATGTTTTATGCATTTTGGACATTTCAGCGTGGATATAAGGTAAATTAGCTCCAATCTACCCAAAAAAGCCATCTGAACATTCCATCCACATTTCAGCGTGGATATAAGGTAAATTAGCTCCAATCTACCCAAAAAAGCCATTTGAAGCATTCCACAAACTTTCCGTCTTTAGATTTTTCGTTTTTATTTTATTTTATTTTATTTTCTTCGGCTTTCCTTTTTCGGGTTAGGCGCCAATGCATGGATAAATACCGCACTTTCTTGTTTATGGTTACTGAGTATAACATAGCAACCGTGTTCAGCAGGATTTATTGAATTTCAGCGATAATTGCACCGTCCTACGGGTATGACCTTTTTATATAACGCTTCTATACTGATCGGAATAGACAATTGCCTTTTCCTTTTTGCTGTGAAAAACATTGTATCCCATGACAAATGCAATACAAAGCTTTGCTCTTGGTGAGTTAGGTTTTTGTTTGATCCCAAGGAAATCTCGATAAACAGTGACAATTGGTATTGTTTCCCACCCGACTAGACATAAGTGATATTGGATAATTACTTCGTGATATTGAGGTAGATTTCACAAGAGAGCTGAGGAGGTACAGATTGCCATTCCTTCGCGTATTCAATCATTTTGACAGCATCCATCAGTCCAAATCCATAGTCCTTGCTCACTGAAATAAAAAAAGCCGAATTTCTTAAGAATTAGCAAAAGGTGAAAAAAAGGGTTCAATTTCTTTGGGCGGGGACACAAGCTTTATAGTTACAATAAGCACTTAATGACTAGCCCCAAGGCAAACCGTGAGTTTTGTTTCCCCAAGGCCCTCAATGTTCCCCGAGGCGAAACCTCCCAACTCAAAAATAGGAAAAAACTGCGAAGAAATCGTTTGCTTGAGGCCAGCTAGCTCACAAATTTTCCGCGGTTTCAAGGAGCACGATCTGATCAGGTGCGAGTTGAGAGTTCAAGATTTTGTTTCCCAAAGGAGTTAGTGAGTTTTGTTCGCCCTAACACGTTCTCCTGTAATTGGAAAACATATTTAAGGTGGGAGGTATAACAAGAAACTCTATCTATCAATTTGGCAGAAAAAAGTCAAGAAATTTGGTCGGTATTTAACTTTACAATTTACCTTTGACCAAAACACGCAATCAGCAGATTTACCTTTAAGGTCAACCGCGTTTTTTATCCAGGTTGTCCCGGGACGACTGACACTCTGACGATTTACTGGAGGACCCAAGGGCTTTGAACTTCTAGCAATTAAGTGTTGAACGTCACGCCACGTCAACTCTTTGCTAAAAACAGTATAAAATGCATTGTTCAATGAGTAAAGGATCGATATAT